TTCCGGATTTTTGAAATCCTTTGGGTTGACAGATTTACGGGATTTGGCCAAAGAAGCGCACGAAAGGGAGAAAGTTACCTTCACAGCAAGCAAGCTCCTGTTGTTGCTTCCGATCAAAAAATGTCATAATTTCCGATCCAACAGGAATGTAATGTCGTCAAGGAGCAAAGTGGAACATCGACAAAGAAGAACTCGTGCAAAACTCTACACTTATGTAAAGGAACGAAGCTGAACGAAATATAGAAGGGAAAACTAAAACCTAAGAGTTGTGCATTGAACTGCCAAACAATCTCTACTCAAGTCTGGTCTTGAGATTTATAACTTGATTTCTTGAAGTGCACAATTTACTTTTCAAAAGGCATTCTAACATAGCTATCTTTCAAAGATTTTTTGGGAATATGGCGAATATTGATGACTGTTTTGGGGCCTGACCAGTGATCGTTCACGTGCATTAGCTAGCTATCTCTTGTCTTGTATACTTTATTTGGCAAGAAAGGAATGCTAGACTTTTCTGGAATGAATTTCAAACTCCCCACGAAACCTATTTTATCATATATCGAGCATTAATGTCTAAACTTCAAAAGTGGAAAAGCTGCAGGGAGTTTATCATCATCATTGGTTCGTGAGTGGAGCGGTTCTGTTTTCACTGTTCCTATCGGGTTCTTTTTGGTGTTTTGGCTTTGCTGGACGGTGATGAGGCTATTATGCTCTTACGTCAACCCTGGATGGCCGTAGCTTTATATTAGCAACCATGCTGCATTTCTCCTAACAACTGTTATTCTGTGATCTTGTTTGCGCTGTTATGCTCTTCAAACCATATTCTTTTTTACCATTTGATAGCTATATTGCTCGGCAACCGGGTTGATCTGATCCTGGATGATTACTTCAACTCATGGTGGGAGCTTTGTTCGGCCTTTTGAGTCCAGAATGTTTTTCCCTTTCTTTGCTCTGTGGTTTAAATTTACTTGTCATTGTGGTCTAACTGACCCGATATAGTTTTGGTTTTTATTTACTGCTCTGATATGTCCTTTTCTTTTTCGATCTTTTGAGTTGTAATTGGGTCACCTTTTGTAACATTTCATTATAGTTATGAAAATGGGCGCTGTCCCTTAATTTTTCCACACGCACACAAAAAAGGGATTTTTACATACATTACATCTAAAATTATTGAAAATACATATTTAACACATAAAGTTCTATATTTACTAATATACCACCTAAAATCTCATTGTCATTCTATTCTATCACTCCATTGAAGTGAAGAGATACTTGTATTCACTGTGAAAGGATGCCATTGATGGGAAAGACAGTCATTGATGGTGATTTTTGACCGAAGGTTTAAACGGAATGTTAGAATTGATTAAAAGAGGTGTTTTAGGTGCTAATTTGTAAATGTAGAAGTTTAGGCGTTAAACATGTCTTTTTAATAGTTTTAGATGTTATGTATGCAATAACCCCCCAAAAAAAAGATTGTTTGGGATAGGGATGCTAGAGAAGGCTCCTATCTTACATTTAAAGCAAGTCTATTAGCTCCTGAAGTCCATTTTATTCTACCAGTTGCCTCATTTTATATGAAATCCTATCAGTTGCCTCATTTTCACCGGGAAATACGATTGGGTGGGGTTGGGCTCACTTTCGTTCTGTTTGCCTCTTTTTTATCTGATCTGCCCCTTGAGGTAACTATTTTAGCATTTTGATGGTTGTTTGATGTGACATGAGCGTGAAAACTCGCTTTCTGCCTTTATCTGCCCTGCATATCAATGGGCTTTTAAATACGAATGGCGACTTTATCTTCTCACAACGCTCTTTTTTTGAGGGGTGCTATTATCTGAGATTTCGTGTTTTTGTGATCTGAAATTTTTGGGTGTTCTGCAGCTTATGAGGCAATGACAGCTGCTATTAAAATGTTGATTCATGCATGGATGTCAGTAGAGAGCTTTTCTACTTGCCTTGATGGATTTTGCTATCATCTGACCTCTATGCCTATTATTGGTCTCTCGTTCTTCTTTTTTATTTTTGACAAATTTTCTGTCCTTTTGGGTTCTGAATGTTTCACAATGGACACGGTTGGATGCTTTAATCTCTCAAAGTTCCTATAACATTCCCGTTTTGATTAGTTGCTGATGTATATTTAAATCGGATCAGCATATGAGATTGAGTGGAAGAAGCTTGACTCATTGGGTTGTTGCACTAAGTTCTTTTGTTGTTGTGACTAACATCAAATTTTAATTGTTGATGTCCTGATGCATTGCCTACTCGAATCTTTTGCTGTTGAGTTCTCCAATCTATAATTGAGAATGATGATGCATCAAAGATGACCTGATATCCACAAGCAACAGATGCTACCATTTGATAACAATCACAACAAAAAGAAAATATGTCAAATGAGAATAGAATGAGTGTGTTGGTTCTTTTTTTCTTATTTTTTTTAAGAATCAAGGTGATGCACAAAATTAGAGTAGAAATTCTACTCAATAGTTATAGGAAAGAAAAAAAAAAGGTGATGCACAAAATTGTGCGAATATAGAGGAATTAAGTTAACGAATCATGCATTAAAATTATGTGAGAGAATAGTTGAGCATAGTTTATGATGTGATATTAATGCTTCTTAGATTAAAGCTATATATTTGTGGAGAGGTTTGATGGAGAAGTATAGAGAGAATAAGACGATCTACATATGATATTTATTTAGAGTAAGCATATGATAAACTTTTATGAGAAGTGCTCTAAAGAGATCTAGAAAAGAAAAGAGTTAGTAATGTTAATTGATATATCATCAAAAAATTATGTTGATCGGGCATGAATCTCGATGCAAATATTAGTCGGAGGCTTCAAAATTAAAATTAGGACCATTCAAACTTCAATTTCAGCAAGCTTATAGTCGAATTGAACATCTCAAGGAGACGAATCCAACGACACCAAATTCGATCCAATCAGTGCCCAAATGGGTCCAAATCAAATAACCAAAGCCTATTTGAAACTTGGAAGCTTCAGAACATTAATCAGATGACTAAATGATATCCAAATGTGACATACTTATAGTTGAATTGAGCTGCTTGACTAGGTTAATCCAACAAGCCCAAGATTGTTGAATGCTAACATCATTAAGACACTCAAATGCTTGATAAACAATCCATGATCGAGGGAGTTGATATCGGCCTTCCATTGAAACCCTCCCAACTCAAATTTTCTAGTCATGAAATACAATCTCTATCTACTCCAAATTTCTAGCACGCAACACTTATATTTAAATCATTAAGGATATGTATACAAGAGTTTTAATATGTGCTCAAATACAAGGTTGTTTGATCAACTATTTTTCTTTTGTTGGATTACATCAAGGATCAGCGTTAAGCCCATTTCTTTTTGTTTTAGTGATGGATGTTCTTACTTTAATTTTATTTTCCTCAGTAATGTTATCATCGAGATATCTGTTGGTAGAGGTGTGCTGGTGATTGCCAACAAGTGACTAATCTTCTGCAACCCAGAGGTTTCTTTATACTCATTTTGCAAAGTCGAACATCAAGGATGACTTGAAAATTCTCAGGCAAACGATGTTATGATTCTCCCTATTTATGCTTGAGGTTGGAGGGCTTTTAGAATGCTGATTATTTATTAGTGTTGATATTCAATAGTCATATTGTACTCTTTCTCCTTCACTCTTGAAGTAGGATGCAGTTGGTATGGTAATTTGTGATGATATGTTTATATATTAATCCTTAGCATATCTTACTCGCTGTCCGAGTGCTCTACCTTTCCTTATGCATTACCTTAGAAATTAAAGAGCCTTTGTCTCCGCTCTATTTTTTATGCATGTTGGTAAATTTTCTCACAATCTATCAAGATGAATGGAAATTTTAAATTGCACGGATGGGGGATTATATTTCTCATTTACAGATGAAAGACCTATCAATAGCCTCATCTGCCCCTAGAAATACAATTTAAAAGGTCTAATCATTTCGCATTTTCAAGTTTAGCGGTATGCAAATAAAATGTAGTAGTTTGCTGTGATTATCTATTCCTTGAGTGAAAGTTGTGAGGGCAACAACGGTGATGATTTAGAATTTAGCCATCGATTGTACATGAGGGCGATGAAATGTCCCTATGTTTCTTATGATATGGCATGTCTGGATGGCTTGGAGTTTCTATGGAAAGTTCATCTTTCACTAGGATGGGAATTAAAGTGCAGAAAAGCTTCTCTACTCGTCTTATGTCATGGATTCATTGTCATCTAAGCCTTCTTGTTATTGTTTCTTCTTCTACTACTTATTCTTCTCGCAGCACTGTGGCACCAATTTGGGGCGCTGTGGCGCTCAAGCTCACAGCGGTGTGACATTTCCACAGCTCTGGGGCGTTGTACGAAAAAAATAGCTTAGGTTGAACAGTTTGGGCAAGGTTGTGGATCTTATAACTGTGTACCTAACTTTTTCTGAATCTTTATTTTATCCAGCTTGGGTTAGACAGTTTGGGCATGGTTGAGATGATCTTCTACGAGTTTGAACATTATTTTTATGGTAACATTCTCTTTGATCAAGCAAGGGTCTAAATTCTAATGAGGTTGTTTCTTATGTTATATATACACTAGTGGCTCCCGGGAAGGGTTTCTTCTTTTAGCCTTGGGAGAGCAGAGTAGTAAAAATATTGAGGGATAGAAAAGTTTCCTGGTGTTGCTATTTGGTTTGTCTATAAAGCCATCTGCTCGATTTAAGTGAATACATATCTTCTTTCTCTTATATTGAATGGAGTTGCATAGGGGAAAAAAAAGGCGGCGGCATTTATAGATGAGAGGGAGAGAGAGGTCATGTTACCACTTATTTGAAATTTAGAGGGAAATCGAGATATGAGGATAGTTTCTTATTGCTTTTTAAAGTAATTTTTAGTAAAAAAATTAAATAATTTTTTTTTTATTAGGAAACAGTTTTAAAAATCAATAACAAAGCTGTCCCAAACAATGCTGTAGTCTCTTTCACTTGATGTAATAGTGATTCATGTTTTGGTTGGGCAATAGTATAATTAAAACTTCGTTTTCATCATTTAATATAGTTCTTAATGATATGGCAGTTATAAAGATTTGTGCCATAAACATAAAATGTACTAGTGTGTTATTATTTCTTCTAAATAAAAAGTTTGGAGGGCTATGATGATGATTTAGAATTTAAAGTGAACGAGCTCATTTGGTAGCTCAAAAAAACTAGTTATATATGTTAGTGAAGTTGCTCATTTGATAGATCAAGAATAATCGTTAGACATGTTCATGAACATGCTTGTTTGATATTTTAAAAAAATTCACTAAATATGTTTGTAAACATGCTCGATATAATTATTTGTTAGGAGGCTCGATATAATTATTTGCTTGGAGGCTCGATATAATTATTTGCTAGGAGGCTCGATAAAGCTAGTTTGTTAAGTTAACGAACATCTAGAAGCAGAGCTCGTTTATAGTTATTTAAGGTTTGTTTGTTTAAAGCTCGATAAGCAGCAAACGAACTAAACATGAACCAAACATGAACACTCATTAATTTAAACAAATCAAACATGAACACAAACAATAAAGCTCGAATCAAACACGAACCAAACTCGAATAACCTAAATAATAAATGAACACAAACATGAACATTCATATACTTGGCTCGACGCTGTTCGTTTGCAGCCCTAATTGGTTCTAAATGGTGCATGTCAGGATGGCCTGGAGTTTCTCGGTCAACCACAGTTGACATATGTTGGTAATTCAAGCTTTGCAAAGCTTTTCTGCTTGTCTGATGTCGTGGATTCATTGTCATCATCTTAGCCTTATTCTTATTCATTTCTTCTTCTTTCCTTTTTTATATTGTGATCCATGTCGTTGAGTTTGTTTTGGTGGATTTAGCGCAAAAAAAAAAAAATGTTTACCTTATTGATGTAAACACTCCTATTTCATAATTTTAATGTATTGGTGGAATGACAGCCTTGCTATAAAAAAAAATTGAAATTTCGTTGAAGAATAAAATACTACTGGTTTATAGATGGATATACTATTAGTAGCCTCGTTTCCTCCATGAAATACAATTCAGAAAGCCTAATCATTGAACTATTATTGAAGATTAGTGCCACACTCATAAAAGGTAAATAGAGTGTTATGATTATCTCTTTTATGAGTTCAAAATTGTGAGGAAGATTATAATGATGTTGATTTATAAATAAGAGGGGTGTAAAGGGTTTCAAATGCACGAGTTTTAAAAATGTTATTGTTTAATCTGAACTAAAAAAATAGGGATTAACCTACGGACCATTTTATATTATGTCATTTTTTTATCCAACACCTAAATTTTTTTATATTTCATGTCTATTATCCATAGATCAAATACAAGAGCCAGGAATGAAATATTATAATTTATAAGTTGGTATGAGTGATAGGAATGAAATATAGGATTGATATATTAACCTTTTTCTCTGAGAAGATTAAAAAACTTTTAAACACTCTTTCTTTCTCCCCCTTTTGCTCTCTTGAGAGTCAATGAGATATTCTTACAGATGCTTTTGAATAACGAAAGCTATCATAGGAGTTACTAAAAGTGTTTGGATTTTTTATTTATAGGCTTATCTATTTTGTAGTTTCTGCTGTCAGTGAATGCTACAGCATATTTGTTAGTTCTCTGCATTGCAAGTTCTTTAGCTTTCTTAATGGATTCACTCTACAATATCTCACGTTGCTGGCATCTCTCTGTCTCTCGAGCAATTATTAGGTCCTTTCACTGGATGTAGAGGAAGGTTCGGTTTTAGGCAAAAATAGGTCAAAAAGTGCAAATACCGAGTTTTTTGAAAAACTCGGTATTTTTTCAAAAAACTCGGTATTTGCACTTTTTTAGTCAAAACCGAACCTTCCTCTAGGTCCTTGCACCGGACCAAATAAAAGTTCCTTACTCATTAGAATGCCACATTGTTCTTTTTCATCAAGAATGGCCCGCAGCTTTAAGGCTTTGAAGGTGGTAGATTTAAAGAGTTTTGGGTGATATTCTACTTTGTTTATCGATTATGTTTACATGTTTCTTGATGTCTGGTCCGGAGGCTAACTAGAATGTGCAACATCATCCGGTACACAGTGGTACCAAAAACTGGTAGAAAAAAAGTGATGTGGCGAGCTATGATTGGCCTCCGGACTGTCCGGTGTCCGTACAGAATAATTTTTCGATGCTGGCTTGTTTGTTAGGGATTGAGGTCCTCTAATCCAGTCTTTGGATCTTTGTTGATGCACAGTGAGTGTTGTTTAGCATTTATTGCTACGTCCGGACTCCGCACAGAATAATTTCTCCTTCTTGCTTCTTTGGTCTGATCTGTGGCAGTAATCGCTTATATGACGAAGCTTCTTTGCCTCCGTCGACTTCTGACAATAATAAGGTATTTAAATGCTGAACAAACATTCTATGATCAAAATAATCAATATAAGTCGTCTGTTGGATTGTTCTGGATTTTCTTTATATTTATGGACATGCCACACTTTTAAAAATAAGGAACCATTGTGGACAATGAGAAGCAATATCCGAATGTTGAGGTATATTTCTACAACTAATGGCTGATAGTTATATTCAAAACTCAAAACTTGCTTGTTAGTTGTATTTTGTGTTCCGTAATCATCAAGATTTCTCTTGAAAGAATTGGGCTGGTGATTGATCAACAAGTGACTGATCTTCTGCAACCCATGTTTCTTGATACTCATTTTGCAGTGGCGAACATTAAGGATGGCTTGAAAATTCTCAGGCAATCCATGTTATGATTTTCCCTATTTATCCTTGAGGTGAGAGGAATTTCAGAAAGCTGTTTTTTGTGTGTTGGAATTCAGTAGTTATATTGTCCTCTCTCTCTCTCTCTCTCTCTCTCTCTCTCTCTCTCTCAGCACTGTGCTGTATATATTATTGCAAAAAAAAATGCTCAGCATGTCTTACTGGCAACCCAAGTGTCGCTACCTCTTCCTGATCATTACCTTAGAAATTCAAGTGCTTCTGTATCCATTATATTTCTTTGCTAGTTGGAAATTTGAAATTGCACTGATGGGGGTTAATATTTTTCATTTAGAGATGGAAGGCCTATCAGTAGCTTCATCTCCACATGAAACACAATTGAAAAAGACTAATTATATGGCATTTTTGAAGATTAGTGTCATACAAATAACATTTAGTAGTGTGCTGTGATTATCTCTTTTATGAGTGAAAAGTTGTGAGAGCAATGATGGTGATGATTTAGAATTTAGCTGTTGACAGCACATGGCGGCTATGAAATTTCCTTATGTTTCCTATGACATGGGATGTTTGGATGGCCTAGAGCATCTCAGGCAACCACATCTCCCATTTGCATGGGAATTAAAGAGTAGCAAAACTTAGAATGCGAAACAAGCATATACGTGAAAAGGTCAAAGTAACTTCAATGGCAGATAAGATTAGAGAGAGTTGTCTTAGATTGTTTGATCACAAAAAATGCTGACCTTTCGATGATCCGGTTGGGAGAGTAGATCTGACCTATGTTTTAAAAGAGGTAGACATAAAAAGACTTGGTTAGAAAGTATTAGAAATAACTTTTGTTTAGTTGATTTAAATGAGAATTTGACTTTTAGTACGACACAATGGAGAAAAATGATTCATGTATAACCCATGTATAGGGATAAAAGCTTGTTGTTGTTGTTGTTATCGTTGGGTTGGACAGTTGTGAGCTAATCTTGTACAAGTTTGAAGATTGCTCCCCATTATTTTGTTAGACAACTGCATTATTTGCCTCAAGAAATTACTAGTCTGCATGTTATTTTTATGGTTTTGTAACATTTTCTTTTCTCAAGTAGAAGCAAGGGTTTAATTAAGGGTATGTTCCCTATTTATCTTCTTAGCCTATGCTGACCTTAAAGAGGGATGGCCTTGGGAGACAAAAACAGTGAGAGACGGAAAAGTTCATACATCATGGATCCTGTACTATTAGTTCTGCCTACGAAGTTGGTTGCTCGATTGAAGTGAATGCTTATGCTCTATCTTTCTCTCATATTGAATGGAGTTGCATAGGGGGCAAAAAAACAGCATTTAAAGATGAGAGTAAGAGAAAGAGGTAGAGAGGAAAAATTATGATTGATCTGTCATAAAAAAATAATCATGATTGGGCATGAATCTCGAGGTAAAATCAAATTGGAAACTTTTGAAATTAAATATGGGACCATCCGATCTCTGATTTCAGCTAACTTATTGTCGAGCTAAACATCTCGAAAAGACAAACCCAACGACACCAAATTCGACTCAATATGAGCCCAAATGAGTCCAAATCAAAGACCCGAAGCGCATTTGGAAGGTTTAAACTAAATTAGGTGACCAAATGTTTTCCAAGTGTGACATGCTTATAGTCGAATCGAGCGGCTCGACGAGAGTAATCTAACGGACCAAAGATCTATGAATTCTGACATCATTAAGACACTAAAATACTTGAGAGGAAATGAAATAAGAGAGGAGAGCTAGAGAAATATGAGATCTTTCTTGCCACCAAGCTCCTCTTCGACCACCGCCCGGCCACCGACTGTTGCCAGACTTACTCCTAGCCACCAATTGTCTTGTCATATATTTTCAAGACTTGGTAGCCTTGACCACCTCCCTCATCTGTCGACTATGGTCTTGCTAACCAAACAAATATGTCAATACTGATTCTTCTAATTCCCACCATGTAATGCACTCTATATGATGTATATTTGCTACATCAGGCTAAGGCCTTCCCCCCAAGGAAGGTTCTCATTTTGCAATCGACTGTAAACACTAGTGTCTCTTATGAATGCTGCACCCTCTCTTTTATCTGATTATGTGTTGGATTGTGTTACAAAGGTAAGATGTTAAACTTTGTATTTCTCTATCACCGTGAATATTCTAGGACGCAACAATGATATATTTGAAATTGTGATGGAGATTAAGGGAGTTGAAGCACATGATCTGATAGTGATTCATGTTTTTGTTGGTAACAAAGAACTGTTGTTGGTAACAAAGAACTGTTGTTGGATACTTATTTTTTCATTATAATTTATATAAATGCAATTCGTACCAGAGAAGTAATTTTTGATAGTTCTCAAGTTCCATGTTTGATGTCGTGTCTGAAGATCCCTAATGAGTTTGTTAGTAGTGCACTCTCTCTCTCTCTATACACTCGCACACACATATATTTGAAGATTGGTGTCGTACTCATAATGGGTAATAGACTAATAATTCTGAGACTATTTCTTTCAGGATTTAAAAATTGTAAGGAAGATTATGATGTTGATAATGATTTAGAATTTAGCTTGGTTGTGCAGGGTTGCTCATTGCTGTGGAGTATCTCTATGTTTTTTATAGTACAACATGTATTCGATGCCTAAATATGAATTATTCATGAACAATGAATTTTTTTGACTCTCTAAGTGAAAGGGGATCTGAAGATCAACGTGAAGGCAAGTAACTCCTTTACTGTGGGGAATGTCTTAGTGGTAGTGCTGCTGGTCCCCCAGTATGATTTCCTCCACACCCTTTGATTATATTGACAAGTCATCAAGGATGGCCTTTAGTAACAATTGATGCAGCCGTCAGCTATTTTTACCCACTTTTTTGGATGCTTGATCTACTATCTCTTTTACCTTTTGTCTATCTTTAGCTTTGGGAATATCCAAGGGCTTTTGAACTCTCTCTAGACCCTTTGTTTTGCATATGTAATACATCATCGAGAATTGCCTTGATCGTGCTTTCTCGATCAGGAATGAATCTTGATGTATATTTGAATCGGAAACTTCCAAAATTAATTTTGGGACCATTTGAGCTTTGACTTTTGCAAAGTTATAGCCACGTTGTATGTCTCGATTAGACAAATTCAATGACGCGAAAAGTGGTCCAATCTGAGTCCGAGTGAGCCTGATCAAGCACTTGAAGTGTAATTGAAAACTTCTAGGCATTAATTAGATAACTAAAATAGATCTTTAAATCTTGCATACTTATATTTGGATCAAGCATCTCGACGAGAAATCCAACAATCCTCTCTTAATTTCGATAACAATAAGGCATTTAAAATGTTGAATGAATGCTCTATGATTAAAATAATTAATACATGTTGCTGATTGATTGTTCCAGAATTTCTCTATATTTATCAGACATGCCACTTTTAAAATCATGAAGCATTGTAGACAATGAGCTATAATATTTGAATGGTGAGGTATATGTTAAACTCAGATAATTGGAGAAGGAAAATGCCTAATTTTATTGCATAAAGCTCTCTCTATTTATAGATCTATACAAAATATCTTAATAAGGAAACAAATAATTACAAAATAATGTATGATTGTACTAGTATAATTCTTACTAAATCAACCACCAAAACATGGATGGAGATTGGTGTGATTCAGGTGAGCCTTCCATGGATCTTCATGCTGGCCATGGGATCAAAAGGGAAGGGACGGCTTGGATTGATGGGATGAAATAATTAATGACTGATAGGTATATTCAAAACTCAAAGCTTGCTTATTTTCTGCAATAATGTGATCTCTCGAAAGAATTGGGTTGGTGATTTCCAACAAATGACTGATCTTCTTCTCCCCAAGTTTTTTATACTCATTTTTCAATGGTGAACATCAAGGATGGCCTGAAAATTCTTAGGCAACCGATGTTGCATAATTTTAATGAATGATACATTAACTAAATTCTTCTATAATTCACACACGAGTGTGTATCATTTTTATTCTTAAAAGTAAGAATCAATGCTCCTTCACTCATCTGACATCTTTTTAGCCCTCAAAATAATATTAAGAAGTTTAATAAGTCAAAAAATTTCTTGTTGTTTTATGCCAAAATCGTTTCATGTGTGCGTGGGAATTAAATTTGCAATGAGAAGCAATATCTGAATGGTGAGGTATATTTCTACAATTAATGGCTGATAGTTATATTGAAAATTCGAAGCTTGCTTGTTAGTTAGTTGTATTTTGTTTTCCTCAATAATGTGATTGCCAACGACTGACTGATCTTCTACTACCTAGGTTTCTCATAATCATTTTTCAATGGTGAACATAAAGGATGGCCTGATAATTCTCAGGCAACCGGTGTTGTATAATTTTAATGTATGATACTTTAATTTAATTCTACCATAATTCACACACTCTTGTGCATCATTTTTATTCTTAAAAGTAAGAGCCAATACTCATCTGACATCTTTTGTCTTCAAAATAATATTAAGAAGTTTAGCAAGCCAAAAAATTTCTTGATCTCCTAAGCATTTTCACATTTCTATATGAAGTGTCATCTTTCGAAGACGACATATTTGAAAAGAAAAAAAAAATCTCAATTGGTTTGGCTATGTACAATTAATAGTTGAAAATGTGCAAATTAGACTAGTTGATAAAATTAGTGTTAGCGGATAGAATTGTTCAAAATGATTTCTGATGAATATATATAAAACCTCAAATAATACTAAACAAGTATGAGAAATGAGGATTCATTATGTGGATCCCAAATAGTTATGATAAAGGCATATGGCTAATGATGATGATGATGGGCATTATAATGACATGCTTAACAACCAGCCAGCAATTCCTCTTCCTCATGTGATTATGGTGTGGTGTACAAGTAAAGCTTAGATTTATTAGTGAACCGCTGCAGTGGTACTGCTTTTTCTAGATTTGTAATGTCATGAGTTTGGGGGTTTCTTTCTCATTTCTTGTATATTCTAATAATTTTTTTAAGGCCTTCAATTTTACCCTATATTCTTTGATTTCGGGAGCTTATGTGATCTCAGTTTCATGCTCTCATCTCTCAATTTTGATGCCAATTTTTGTGGGGTTTTATTAACTAACTTTTGATTTCATTCTCCCTCATCTCCTTTGACAAGATATATTTTTAATGCATTGTCTTATATGAAGGATATTTACCCACAAAATGTGGAATCTCTTTCGCTTTACTCTATAACTCTTGGATATAGATACGTGCTCTTGAGTTACTTGCAAGTTTTGCAAGATTAGGCCTCATATTAACTGTCTTTGTTCCTGCTTTCTTTTTCTTTTTAGAATGCTCTCTTCTCAGAAAATGTGCATAGATTGAGAGTGCTTGACATTTTACCGGCTGTTGCTATTTTCTTGTAAAATCTTTATCCATCTGAATTTGATTTTTGGCAGAGCCTCTTATTTTAAAGAGGCTTATGTGTGGGTTTTGCTATATTGTTTTTCTGGTTTCATCATACTCTCAATTAGAGGTGTAAATGAGTAGAATCATGCTCAAGTCTCCGTTCAAAATTGCGCAACATGAGGCTTGCCTTAAGGCCCGCCTCAGCGCAATTCCAGTAAAATATGCCTCAAGGCTAACGCCTCGAGCTTTTTTTAATGAAGCTTATGCTTCATCTTGGATGAGGCGCGCCTCGTCTCGCTGGCATGAGACGTACGCCTCACTCTATATATATATATATATATATTATTAATTTAAAACTTACCTAAATCCGATACAAAAGCCCCAAAAAAATCAAGCCTTCTTACATCCCCAAGCTGCGACAACTTTCTCTTGATTGCCTCGACCTCTAGCCCACAGCCTTCACTGTAGCAACCACCTTTGTAGTTGTCCTAGAGGATCACTAGAAAGTGGCACGCCACCATCATCTCCTCTTAAAATTTTGGAGTATTATCTTTAGGTTGATGACATCCATTTATGAAAGATGAAGATGATTGAAATAAATGAAGCAGCAAATTGAGAGATATTGGACCCTACAGGAAAGAGACCAATTTGTTATGACCATGACTCAACTAAAAATCACATTTGTAATGATAGTACAGATGATTTCTGAGTTAATTATTTTAGCTTTCTTTAGGAATTAAACGTAGATGAGCAGACAACTAAGAATGAAAAAAATTAGAGCTGAACTTGATGTTATATGATACTTTTATGCAATTTATATATTTTATATTCTTTTGTTCCTGTATTTTTTGGATTTTAATTCTATTTCACATAATTTATCACTTAACACTTCGCATCTTATACAATTTGTTGTTACATATGTATTTAAATTTGTTAATTCATATTTCAATAGAAAGTTAATGTGTCATCTTTTAATATATTATTTGGATATTATATAAAAAATCACTTTTAATTTTATTTTGACTTTACGCAATTTTTAGATTTTGAGACTTACGCCTCAAAATGCCTTAAGGCTTATGTCTCGCCTCACGAACGAAAAACGACTCAATTGAGGACGCTTGAGCTCGACCTTCATTCTACAAGTTTGAGTTGGCTCACGTGCCTGCTTGTTTGTAATGAAAGAAAATGATTATTATTTAAGCAATTATTATAAGATAATGGTAAAATGAATGATAAATTAGAAGAAAAAAATAAATAATAACTTTATATAAGAAACTAAGAGAAAATTTTTAAACATTTTAAGAATCATTGTCCTTAAAATCATGAATGCTATTATAGTTTAAATATATTTTATATTACTATATTTTAAACGAGTTGGCTCACAAGCTAACAAGGTGAGTCAGGGCTAGCTCAAGCTTGACTTCTTAGCTTATCGAGCTAAGTTTGTAAGCCATTTATCGAGTTGAGCTCGAGCTAGGTCATGAGTCGGCTTGATTCACTTGCACCCCTGCTCCCAATCATCTCTATTGCAGCTGTCAAAATTTTCCATTTTAAGATTCTAATAAACGCCGTTGTTTGTACTTTTTAGTCTGTTCAATAGCAAAGGAGGTCTTCTTATGAACTGTCTTAATAGTTTGTATTGCATGATGTGAGTATCCTTTTAAGTTGCAAGTAACAGTTTAGTTGATGAATCTTAAATCTCACTTCTTTTTTGCTTTATGGAGCTGTCCGTTAGAATCAATTGTAAAATTTATCACTATTCTCTGTTGTTATACCCATGCCGTATTATAATTTCGGACAAATTAAAGGGGCAAGACCTCTTACATTTTATAGTATATTTTCTCACTTCTTTCTATGTTTTTATTTAAAGATCTTACAAAATCTTTTTTTCTTTGATTTTTGTTGTTTTATGCCAAAATCTTCTCATGTGTGCGTGGGAATTATATTTGTAATTTAACAACTAACAAGTTAAGCTTCTTTTCTTTGCAGTAGCTTGTGGATCTTATAACTGTGTATCCAAATTTTTACAATTAACGGTGAAGCATATTTTTACAATTAATGGCTGATAGTTATATTCGACACTTAAAACTTGCTTGTTTGTTGTATTTTGTTTTCCTCATTTTGTAATCATTGAGTTTTCTCTTGGAAGAATTATTCTGGTGAGTGCCAACAAGCGACTTCCTAAAATCTAGAACCATTGTGGACAATGAGAAGCAATATCTGATTGGTGAGGCGTATATTTACAATTAATGGCTGATAGTTATATTCTAAACTCAAAACTCACTTGTTGGGTGTATTTTGTTTTCCTCAATAATATGATCAATGAGATTTCTCTTAGCCGTTCTCTCTATTGTTAAGCACCATACTATAACCAAAGTAACTGTAGAAGATCTATTATGCTATCTAATCAACATTTTTCATTTATTCGTTTGAAGTGATGCATCCGGTGCTGAATCTATTTTTCGCAAATCATTTTAAATAACTTCTATTCATGTCACTTTCGGGCCTCATTTTGTACATTTTTAAATCACCTAAATACATTTTTAATTATGAATAAAGTAATGAGATATATCATAGATTGATGAAAAATGAAGATCTGGAGGTGGTGCATAACGGTAAAAAGTTATATTTGAAGGATTTTGGGTGATATTCTACTTTTGTTTATCAAATCTGTTACCTTCGTCCTTGTTGTAATGTCAAGACATAAGGGTAGCCTCAAAAGGCAACCCGTGCAGCCAGCGTGATTTTATCTTTTTTATGGCTTTAGGTGAGAGATCAGAGGTGACGGTTTTTCTCAACTTTTCTTTGAAGTTTTAGCAATCATTCTTGTTCTCAAACTTTGTATGTGACTGGAATCCCATTTCTGGTCTTGATTGCTGCAAGCCGGCAAGCCTCCTTGCACAGATTTTCTGCTGTTCATACCATTGATGGCGTGGAGACCTTTGTAGTTTTGTTAGTTAGCCTTTATGTTAGAACAGTGTAAATACCTTCCGCATTGTTAATATTTTCACATTAGATTTGGTATTACATCGAGAAGCTCAAGAATGTTGGTGTATATGCTTGGGCTTCGCTCATTTACCAAGAGCTTCTTAATGATAGCAGGAGAGCTAGAAGAAAGATGATAGAGGACGAGATAATGGAAGGTGAAGTTATTATAAAATTAGTTGTAGAACTGTTCTAATTCTTGAAACTGTAATGAGTATTTTGTTTTTTTTTTTTTAGCTGTGACACCAACGGCTGTCTTCTGATGACCCGGTTAGGAAAGTAGAAGTATTAGATTTAACTTATGTTAAGAAAGGTTGAGGAGGACTTGGTTAGAAAATATTAGAAATGATCTTTCTTTATTAGTTTTAAATGAGAATTTTACTTTTAATATAACACAATGGAGAAAAAGGATTCATGTAGCTGACCCCACCTAGTGGGAAAAGTCTTGATGTTGTTGTTGTTGTTGTAGCTGTGACACCAACAAATCTTCTTATAAAAGGTTGCCTCTTATTACATAAATAATTAAAAACAGCAAAGCAATAATTTTATGGTTGCAAAAAAGAAAGTGACAACCGTTTAAAAAAAAGAAATTGTGAAAAATTGTTCCATGTAGACTTTAATAAGCGTGTTCAGTTGCTGAGCGTGTGCTTTAACTCGCTATTGTTTATACTCTGCCTCATGTTGCCTCGGATCTGTGAGATCTTGGCCTAAGGATAGGCCGAGAGGGCAAGATGCAGCCCAGCATTACTGGCATGGGGAAGAGATGCCATGAAGGGATCTCCAAAAAGCATTAGCCGCTTGCTGACTGCTAATGTAAGAATCAGATCACTCTGCTATATTACTTTATTTCAACGAGTTTGCATCCCATATGATTTACGTCCAGATTAAGATTTCATTTGAGATAGTTTTCTTACTACTTAAAATAGTTTTTTAGTTTGTACTAAAAGTTGTTTTAAAGAAACAGTAAGAAAGCCGTCCCCAGCGAAACCTAAGCCTTTACCAGCTCCTCTACAGTGTGAGCTTCATCACCTTGACGAGTATTCTCGCAACTCCTTACAGGTTCTTTGGAGGCCTTGCTCCGCAGACTGGAGTATCATCTGATGCTCATTGAACGTGTAATCTGATCATACTGTAGATATGAGAGTGGTATGTTATAGTTTCTATTGATTACAAGTTTTGTTCACATGGATTGAGTTATAGAACAATCATGCCATGTTTTAATGCCTTTCCAGGCTCATATTAGAGTTGCATATGTGGCTGCTAGGAAGTTAGCTGTGCTGTTAAAGCCTGGCAAAAATCGGAGACGCTTCGTCGTAGTAATAATGCCAAGCAAGAGGAGGCGGAAGTGCGACTGTTACGGCCACACACTGCGAGTTCCAGCCTCAAAGACGGCATGGTCTGGCAAAATATCCTAACTGGAACAAGTATGGCAAAAGACTGAGGCTCATGGAATTCCTGTAGCCGCTTCACAAGAAAAACCAAACAGGGAGAACAGATTCTATGATTTTTATATTTATTGTTTAGGGTTTTTTACATGTTTTCATGTTATTCGCTGTAAGTCAAATAATAGTGATCAAATATTGTTATTTTAAAGTTTGTTATTTATTTAGTCATAAAACTGTCAAAAGATTTCCAAATAAAGTAAAGGGCAAAGAGCTGAAATGCATGATTGAGAATTTTGAAAAAAATCTTGAGTTATAAACTTATTACATTAAAGGGCTGTTTTGGTATCATTCTAAGTAGGATTTCATAAATCCTATTTTGAAATCTTGAGGGCCTATTTTTGAAAACTCCATTCATGATGAATTCCATTAAATTCTGTGTTACTGTTTGGCTATAAAGCGGATTTAATGAGTGGATTCCTCGCAAGCCATTGTATTTCATAAATTTGGCAAAAATAGGTTTTCAGAACAAAAAGGCGGAATTTTTTGTCTACGGCGGTTTTCATTTGCTGTGAGATTTGGTTTTGTATTTTAGGCTGTTTGGCTGCATTTCTCTCACATCGCCTCAAATCCTACTACTCAACAGCCCCTAAAGGTGTGTTCATCTTCCTTGCGTTATCATAGGGACCAGACTTTTGACCATATTTAATCATAATATATAAACAAATGTTAATGTTGGTAATAAGCACTTAATTTTATGATGGGCTGGGAAATTAATTTGGTCTTTTTTAATATATTTTGTGCAAAAAATTGTTTAACAAACGATAAGCTAACTAAAAAAATCTTAGCTTGACATAGATAATGTACAGTTGTAGGGTTGCAAACGAACCGAGTCGAGCCGAGTATGTGAGTGTTCATGTTTGTGTTCATTTAATATCAGGTTGTTCAAGTTTGGTTCATGTTTGTTCGAGCTTTTATTGTTTGTGTTCATGTTTGGTTCATTTAAATTAATGAGTGGTCATGTTCGGTTCATGTTCAGTTCATGTTCGTTCGTTTAGTGCTTTTCGAGCTTTGAAACAAACAACATGAACGAGTTCTATAAAACGGGCTCTACTTTTAGACGTTCATGAACTTAACAAACGAGTTTTATTGAGCTTCCTAACAAACTATTACATCGAGCATATTTGTGAACATATCTAACGAATGTTTTTTAACTATCAAAAAACACGTTCATGCACATATCTATGAACAAATATATTTATAATAAAAGTGATTGTCTATGTAACAATAATTACATCATTATATTATAATAAATATAAAATATTTATATTATTTATATTTAATAATTATATAATCAAATATTAATTATTTTTATCGAGCTTATTCACGAGTTCAAAATCAAACACGAATCGAGCTTAATTTCGAGCTAGTTCACGAACTTCAAATGATATTGTTCGCGAACATAAATGAGCCAAACGCATTAGTGTTCAAATTTGTTTATTTAAGAATCGAGTATAAAAATATTATTCAAATTTATTTATTTAGTTAATTAAACGATCATAAATGAACTTTTCAAAAGGCATTCAAACATAGCTATATTTCTAAGATTGTTTGGGCCAACAAAATTCGTGGAGACAGTATTTCTTTAGCAATAAAAATTATAAAAAGTTATGCGAGAAAGTAGTAAGCAGTTCAGAGGCGGTTGCAGACTTGCAGTATGGTGCTAACGAAATTTTTGGACTCCACTACGCCACTTCCCCGTCTTTCCCTTCACCCCCACTCCTCATATATAGAACCATCGCGACCTTACCCATATAACCAACTCCTCTAACGAAAGCGGAAGATCAACAATGAAGACAATTTCCAAGCTCCAGCCCTTCTTCTTCTTCTTGCATTTTCTCTTCATCTCTCACACCTGTAAGTCAAAAACTAAACTCCCATTTACATCATTCTAAACAAAGCCTCGCCTAAAACAACCTCTTCGCTCTTTCTCCAGATGAGATCGAACTTGCAATTGTCAACATGTGCGACTACAGCGTCTGGCCCGGCACACTCGGCAGTGCAGGCAATATTTCTCCAAAGGACGGTGGATTTCATCTGGGCGTCGGTGAAGAGGTAGTCATTAACGTTCCTAATGGTTGGTCTGGAAGAATATGGGGAAGACAAGGTTGCTTCTTCGATGAACAAGGTCAAGGATTCTGCCAAACTGGTGACTGTGGTGGAAGGCTTTATTGCAAAGGAAATGGAGGAATGCCACCGGCCACATTGGTTGAAATGACCTTCGGAATTCCTCAGTATCAACTCCATTACTATGATGTTAGCTTGGTAGATGGTTTCAATCTTCCTGTAACAATGGCGCCAGTTGGTACTGGGGTGGGATGTGGGGTTGCAGGGTGCAAGGTAAATTTGAATGCTTGTTGTCCTTCTAGATTTGAAGTAAAGTTTGGAGGAAAGATCGTTGGCTGCAAGAGCGCTTGCTTGGCTCTACAGACAGATAAGTATTGTTGCACAGGGGAGTATAGTTCACCAGGTACTTGCAAGCCTACTCTTTTCTCCTATATCTTCAAGTCGTTATGTCCAGGAGCTTATAGCTTTGCATATGATGATTCTTCCAGTTTGAACAGGTGTAGGGCCTCTCGTTATGTAATTACATTTTGTCCTAAAACATAAGGGGTGCTTCTAGTGTTGCTATAGTTTTGCTTTAATTTTCTTTTTTTATTTCTAAGGGCAAATCACCTAAGCTTACTCATTAGTCTGTGCTTTCTCTGGAGGATTGTTTGTGTTTGGTTCCAGATATGATGGTCAAGGTTAATTTGATGCTTTTAAGAGAAAATTATCTGTTTTTGTGTTATATTACTGCAACTTCTGGTCTTGGTGATTTCTACAGTTAAGAAGGAATTATCCATTTTAATGGTTAGAAGGAACAGGATTCTGGATGAATTTGGAAGTCTGGTGATGTGGTGAAACAAGTGCATGATTTCTTCTTTTTAATTTCTATAAAAATTTCTTAGAGAATGGAAGGCAAAATGATCTGCTAAGTGTGTGGCAATATAACTTCTTCAGTGAACATGTAAGTTAAATAAGTTATGCAAGAAATACTTATGACTTGTAAAAATGGTACATGTGAAAAGAGCATTATAAAACACTTAGACTTGTAAAACTCTCACTAGTTCTGCAAGAAACATAATTCTTCCATAGATGGTTATAGACCAGAGCTAAGCTTTAGAAACATCACAAAGGAAATAGTGTCTAAAACTATTTAATTGCAGCATTTTACTAAAAATAAAAGAAATGGAATGTTGTTTCTCCTATATTTTAGATTAGTAAAAAAGCAAATTGGAGTTGAGCTTTGTATTCATAGTTGTCCAATTAAGCCATCATTTGGGACTGTTTTCTTACTGCTTCTTAATTAAAGCAGTTTTCTAGTCCAAAATTTTTAATTTTTGTACTAAAAAGTTGTTTTAAGAAGCAGTAAGAAAGCTGTACCAAACGAAGCCTAAAACACTTATTTTTTCATCTTTAGTTGACTATTTCTTCTTTTACTTTTTTCCAACTCTTCTTGAAGTAATTAATGAAAAAGTATAGAGACATCATTATTTTTTGTCTATGGGGTATTTATATACATATCGCACAAGTAAATGTATGAGTTATTTTGTTTCATCTTCTATGTATAATCAAAAGATGCATCATGACAAGAACAAAGAGATGGTCCGAAGAAGAAGTTAAGGGACCAAGATCGTTTGCATACTACCCCCTTTATAAAACCTTCCTAAGTTCTTCCCCTCTCAATTTCCTTTTCTCTTATTCTCCTCCTATCTGTCTAATTTGCTTAGCTTACTTAAGTCAGATTTTGAGTATTTTTAGCTCACAATGGTCGTCCAATATCTACCTACTAATTCAAGGTTGGTAATCATAAGAGAATTTTTTAATTAACATTGTCAAAACTTATTAAAAATTTAAGGTGGTAAGTGTGTATTTATTATTTTAACTTTGTACAAAATTCAACATGTAAAAATAAAAGTTGTGAGATACAATAAAAATTTTTAAGTGAAAATTAAAGAAATGAAAAATCAATTGAAGAAGATGAGATTATACAAAATTGAGTACCATTTTCTAATTCTCATTGTAAGGATTATATAAATTTGTTATTTACAAGCAGACATTTAAAATCTAATGGTGGAGTTATATGTTAATATTCAAATGACAAAAGTGAAATAACAGAAGTTTGGGGATGGTGATTACAATTGTTGATTGTGATTGGCAACGATGAACACTGAGAATCTATAGATTTCCTTATCTCTTCTAACTCTCAAACCATCTCCTTAAGGGCTTATTTATAGCTTTTTTTAAAAAGGAGCATTTTAATAAGTTTGATCATAATCCAAAATACGCTATCATACTATTCATATTGATTCTCTAAATCATAGATTGTTTATCAAATCTTTAACTACCTTAATGGTGTCAAATTGAAAAATCTTGAGCTCGTTAGATTTATCTCACTAAGCCGCTTGATTTGATAATAAGCGTTGCAATATATAAAGGCTATTTGGTCTCTCAATTAATGTGGGAAATTTTTAAATATGTTTCACATGCTTAATTGAAGTTCATTTGGAGTCAAATCAGATCATTTGTGATGTGGATGAATTTGCCTTATCAAGATATTCAATTATAATATCAACTCAATTCCATAAGTATATTGAAATCGAATTTCTGATGATCATGAATTCAGCAATTATGAATTCTTTGAATTCAAATATTACTTTGAGATTTGAGCTATCAAACAAATATTTTTTTGGAGACATCATGGATAATCATGAATTTGTTAAACATTTCATAGTTCTCAAAGACTAGAAAATTGAAGTTTTTCACTGTTATCACCCAAAATATTGTTTATATCAAGCCTTATAAGTTCATATTTTTTGAACCTTACTCAAGTAGTGAAGCAATATTTAAGTTTTGAAGAAAGGTCATTTATTGTGCACATAACATTGGCGAGCTTCACATTGATATTGACTTGAATTTTTTTATTTCAATCAATTGTCATAATTGATATGAGCTCCCAATTGACAAATTTGATGTTATTATGCTACTTATTGATGGAGATTCGACATCATCGAATTATTTCGTGCCAACATAAGTTGTTTGTCAGAATTGATCACTAGAAGTTTCACCAAAAAAATCATTTGAATAGTTAATGAATAGAATCATTCGAGCATTTAACATGATTTTGTTCGATTTTTTTTTATGTATCATTTTCCCATTAATGTTTGATTTATGGTGATATCAACTAATAATGAGGAAGTTACGATGTCAATTCATGATGTATTTTCTACTTGTTAATATTTCACTGTGGCAACTCACGAAAATCATGCTGCTCCTTTTGATCTATTAGTTTGGAGCTTTGGTTATCAATCAAGAGGTCTTGAATTTGTAACTTACATATGTAATGTGTGCATAAGATTGCCTTAATCGCCTCGAAAGTCTCCAAAAATCCCATAAAAACCAGCATAACTCATAGTACGCACTTCAACTTAATTACTCTTGTTAATTTGCTTTGGATAAATATTTCTCTCTTTTTTCATGCATAAATGATACATTCATGGACTCATTATATAAATTCAATACAAGTGTGCCTTCTATGAATCTGTGCTACTGATATGGTATCTCAATTAAACCTAATTCATCACCTTTTGAATCACCTCTTTTTAATCCTAACTTGGATAATTAACATGCATGATGTGATGCCCAAAATCTAATTTGGAAGAAATATTTTTTTATCTTTTAATTTACATAACTAGATTAACCTAATTTTTTTATCAATATAAATACCCAAAAAAATAAAACTATCAATCAAAACATCAATATATACATCTGTATTCATTTCCACAAAAAACATATACACTTTTTAGAATATATACAATCATATCATAACTACTCTGTCCTAAGTATAACAGAATAATTAAAATAACAAAAACTTGAACCTAAAGGATCTTGATCAAACTAGCACTCATGCTCCCTTATCCTGACATGAAATTATTAAATCACATATAATGAGCTCAAATTAAAAACCTAACAAGTATAACCAAATACTACTACTGAACTCAACGCAAGACATAAGAGCAATATGCATGTTAGTAGTTAAATCATAACAGTATATTCACATGATCATGAATCAATACAGAAATAGTAAAAGTCACATGCATTAGCAATAAAATCTATAAATAATAAAATAGTGTTGTATGAAAGCTATTAAAATAATACAGTGGAAAAATCAATAAATCAGTACGGGTGTCGAATCAATAAAGCAGTTGTCAAATTAGTACTATTAAAGTGGTAAAACCAAAGCATCAGTAAAGAACTGTTGAACTTAGATTAATATACTAAAATCCTATACCTATTTATACATGATATCTAATATGTCACATGCTTAGTTTATTCGGTATCAGTATAATTAATCAATAATATCAAACAATATTGAAATTTATATCAGTAATAGTAAAAGTCTAGTGGTAGGAGCAGTAAAATAATGCATTAATCGTAAATATGTAAAATAATAAGAACAATACCTTTGTAATGCCCTAGAATCTAATTTGAGAGAATTACTCTTTTATCTTTTAATAAACAATAACTAGAGCTATCTAATATTAAATATCAGTAATAAACAACAAAACATATTCTATAATTTAAAACATAAATATATGCATCTATATTCAATCATAAAAATCATATTCAATACTCATAATCTATACAATCATCATATATCAATCATATCATGAATACAAAAAATAGCTAAAATAAAAAAGAACCTGAACTTGAAGGAATCCTAAGAAGCCTTACACTTCTGCTCCCATGCCCAAATCTAAAATAATTTAACCACATATAATGAGTTAAAAAGCTCAACATGTCACCAAAATTTATAACTAGATGCAAAGCACAACAAAGGAGCAATATGCATATCAATAGTCAAATCATAACGTACAGTCACATTCATATGATCATTGAATCAGTAATAAAATAATAAAATTCATATAGTAGTAGTAGTAGAATTTATAAACAATAAAACACTATAGTACAAAAACTAGGAAATCAACGAGCTGGCTGCCCCTTTTCAGTTCTCTTTAGTTGGCTTTTTCCCCTCTAAAAGACCTCCTCTAGACTCTATTCGTAATTTTTTTTTTCAATTTAAAGCTTAAAAGTGAGGTTTCTGTTACTGTTTTGGATCCCTCTCATATTTTGATCAAGCTTTCCAATGATCTCGATTATTGTAGGGTGTTCTGTCACCGTTCTTACCTTGACTTTAACTGCTATATAAAATTAACGAAGTGGTCTCCAAGTTTGGATATAGGTGTTGAGTCGCCGGTTATCCCGATATGGATTTTGTTTCCTAATCTTCATCCTCATTTCTTCGCTCCACGGATTCTTTTTGGGCTTGGCAAATTGTTTGGCAAACCCTTGAAAATTGATGAAGCTACTGCTGTTGGTTCCCGCCCGTCCAATGCTCGTATGCTAGTTGAGCTAGACATAACTAAATCTTACCCTAAACAAGTTTGGTTATGTTCGGAATCTTTAGGTTATGTTTAAGATGTGGTTTTTGATGAGTTTCCTCAGTTCTGTGCGGGTTGTAAATGTATTGGACATTCCTTGGGTAATTATCGTCCTGCTGCGTCTTTGCTTCCTAATGTTTCTCCTAGCCCATTAGCTAATTTACCCCCTCA